GGGGGGTTGCCTTCTCCCTTTCTCTCTCTATTCCTCTGTGGTGAGCACATGCACCCTCAGGCAAATGTTTTTAAAAGTGATTCCAAAAATATTATGCAAATATATAACATAAAATATTTTGATTCACTATTTTTGCACATCTAATGAGCCCAGTTCAAGAAGACCAGGGGGCAACTGCTCTACCTAAGTCTGTTTACTGTATGGTTCCCTGAGCACCAGAAAGCACTCTGCTTACTCCATGCCTCACATCTCTGAGAATTTAAAACATCCTGGAGAGCCATGCAGTGGTGCCATGGATCCCAGCTACGCCTGTCTCAGGGCTGGGGCTGATGGTGCGTTATTCATTTCCGATGTTCTCACGCATGTGAGCAGAAAGAGCATCAAGAGCTTCTCTCTGAGAACTGTGAAATGAGGTCCATCAGAAACAGAGCATTAAGAACAAATATAGATGGGACCAGCATAATGGCTGTGTCGCTGGACTCCCATGGAGTTGACCGCGGTTTGAGCCCCGGACCCAGTGGCTTAAACTCACGCAGGGCACATGTGCGTGCGTGTACAAGGTCCCGAGAGGAGATGGAGGAGAAGGGATTGCAGCATGGCCATTCCCCCGAGGGGTGATTTCTCGCTTTCTGTCTCTCTGTCTCTCTCTGTCTTTTCTGGCGAGTGCATGGGCCCTATAGCAAAAACCTCTAAAAAAAAAAAAAAAAAAAAAAACGAAATATGGGACAAATGAGTCCCTGGATTTGGGGCTATGCATGGGATGCCTTGCCTGCCTTGGCTATTGTAGGTTTTGCCCCTTTAAAATCAGATCTACCTGGTTTTGTCTGTCAGGTCTTCACCACCAAGTGGAACTGAACTGAGGAAAAGCCTAAAGAGTGCAGACAAAATGCCTTTTCAGCCAGGAAGCTTCGATTGTTCTTGAAGGCCCAGGCCAGACAGTGCTGCCCCCTTACAGGAAATCCAGACCACGCTGAGTCTGTTCTCTACTATCATCCTGGATCACCTGGATTTTAAAATAAACTAATTTCAATAAAACAAAGGAAACTTGATGCAAATTCCAGGGCATTTCTCAATGAGCGGGCCACATCATAGCTGGCTGATGCCATGCTCTGAGCGCTTGCCTTCCCAACCTGACGCAGCAGGGAGTCACAGCAGGACCAGGACACAGACGTGGGCATTTGCCCACAGTCGGCACCAGCCATCAAAGACCCAGCCAGTCCCTGGGCTTGGGTTCATTCTAACTCCAGGCAGGCAGTCCCAGAGCCTCCGGACGACCTGCTTTTTCTTTTTTCTTTTTTTTTTTTTTTTTTTTTTGCTATGGAGTTTACATACTCACCAGAGAGACAGAAAACAAGAAATTCCCCTCCCCCTATGGCCCCCAATCCCTTCTCCATTCCCTTGGGATCTGAGGCATGTCATGCAAATGCCTGCCATCAATTACATGGAAGTCCAGTGCCTTAACCACCACGCCACCTGCTGGCCCCACTGCCTGCTTTTAGAGATAAAGGTCATGGGGGTTTAGCAGGTGGCTTGGTGCTTAAGGGCGCTGGACTCCCACATGGCTGACTGTGGTTCAACTCCCAGACCTGGTGGCTTGTTTTCTCACTTTGCCTCTCTCTCTCTCTCACTCTGGTAAAATTAAAATAAATAAATAAAGTTCAATAAAATAATTATTTTTAGAAAAGACAAAAGTCATAAAAATGCTCCTCATCTGCTCCTCTTCAACTCAGGATAAACTCTTCCATTTTGTGAAGGCTGACGAGAGAAATGCCTGATGTTCAGGGGAACCTGGTGCTTTGGGGTCTGTGTTCACCATCTAAACACACATGCACAAGTTTTCGCAAATACACGGTATCTCTACTCATCTTAAAGATCTCCCAAAATCCTACTTGGTACTTGTTCTTCCTGGGATTAGAAGAATCTGAGAACGTTTCTCCTGCTTTCATGACCCCGTGTAAGAATACCAAGAATACCAGCTTTTCCTCCCAGGTACC